GATTGGCGCCGCCTGGCGCTCGAGCCACCGCGGGATGGGCGTGGGCGAGCGCTTTCGGCGAATGCGCTTCGGAGCCATGCCTTGCACGCGAAAGAAGAAGTGGAAGGCGACGCCTGGCTTCAAACAACTCGCTTGGACCAAAATGGCTGCGAAAGCGGCGATGTGGTGGATGACGGTGATGATGATATCTATGAGGACGATGGCGGGTCGCCAGGCGGGTCGCTGGATGCGTCGCGGGCGGGTCGCTGGGTCGCAGGGTGGGTCGCAGGCAGGTCGCGGGTCCTTTAAGGCCAGTTCCCATATATTGCTTGTTTGTTTTATATACGGCACGGCCGAGGGGGGGCATTTTTCTGAAGGTGGGGGAGTGCATCAGCAGCACCACTCCCTGCAGTCCGCAAGCCTCAAACATTGGCAAAATACCATTCTGGCTTGAGTCTGCTTAGCACAGACAGGCGCTTACAAATTTGCCGCTCCCACTGGGAGCGGTGCGTGACCATTGCAATCTTGGCGATGACAGCGTTCAAGCTCTCATCCAAAAACGTGGAGTACAGCCGTGGGTTCCCAAACTTGGGAATGCATAAAGACAGGTGCACCCACAGATGGTGCTTTGGCACCAACCTTATCTCCGCCCGTTTCAAAGCCGAGCAATGCATGAGTGTCATATCCAACAGCGTCTGGCAGGTGCCCATATCTATTGTAGGGCCAGCTTCTTTTATGATGCGCATATACTCTAATACATTTTCGCCACCCCGTTTTAAATGGGTGGCGTCGCGGGCTCTCGGAAACTCAGTGCACAAGTGCACGGCCCATTTTACCAAGGGAAAGGTTTCGGCGGCTTTGGTGCTGAGGTCTCCAGAAGGATCTTCGCCAATCATTTTCAAAGTTAGGTCTCCCAGACGCATGCTGAGGTCTACGCCATTGAAGGAATACCAACTCATTAAGTGGTCCTTCAATCGACGGCAACAAAGATCGCGAACCACCTCAATTTCCCCTGAGGCGCCCCATGGATTGAGTTCAATCATCCTCCAGATGACGTGAAACACAAACAAATTCATTACCCCTAGGTAGAGGGTGTGTAATGTGTCAACTCTAAAAACGTCAGCCACATTTCCTATTATAGCCGTCTCGAGCAGGGGGTTCCTGCGGAGAATCAAATCTGCGCATGCGCTTCCAATCACGTGGCGCCTCCAGAACGTGAGAGTGATTGGGAGCGCAGATCGCCGCGTCAAGGCGCCTATGTCAGGCAACGACTTGCTCGGCTCAAGACGGTCGCCGTTCCGCAGACCGCACTCGGGCACATCAGTTTTGATAGTGCGCCCACCAATTTTTCTTTTGCTCTTCAACCAGCGGAGAGACCCCACAATCAAGGCGAGACGTTCTGGCGTGTCAACGTCCACTGTAATCTCGCACGATGACGCAAGCTGATCGTAAGTTATCTCAGAACGATCTCCCCACTCAGTTCCTAGCAGCGACACTCCAGAAAAATCATACATGTTCTCTTTACGGCACTGGCACACAATGCATGGCGCATACTTTGTCGACCAAGACGGAAAGCCGAGCGTCCCGACCCACTCAGCCCAATCCCCTTTTATTTGCACCAAACACAGTCTCGCTGGAAGATCTGGCTTGGCCGCGGCGAGCTGGCCATACCATTCTGCGTCGTCCCACTGCGAACCGTCGTGCCTCAGGACAGGGCGCGTCCCCTTGTTCCCGTGGTCGAATGACCACGCTAAGAATGCCATCACTTGATAGATTGTGCACCAGCCTCTGCATCCGCAGCGGCACCACTCCGACTTTCGGAGACATCCCAAGTAATGCCGTTTTTTCGTAGTGGTGAGATAACAATAGAATGCAACTGCTGAGTCGGCTTTCCCAACGCCGATACTTTTTGTGAACCGAAAGCCGCCCAAATAAAGCGCAGCTGGCGCAGGGCGCTCCCCTGCCTCGAGCGCTCTCTTCACACCAGGGTGATTGTTGTAAGCGTCTGCCCATTCCAAGCTCTCGGGCCCTTCGCACTTCGCGTCGAGGTAATTGGGGTCGGCCTCGATCTCTGCCGCCAGCACTTCATGCGGGGGCTTGAACGGGATGATTTTTTCCCCCCGCCCGTGGCGAAATCCGAACACTGGAACTTTGATATCGCAGGTCCTCACAGAAGGTGTCCTCTCAAGCACGCGGTTCAGTTTTTTTTTGGTAACTCCCTGTCTGGCCGCCAGGTGCTTTCGCATACTTGTCCCAATCGCCTTCGGAGCCCGATTCCCTGGCAAAGTGACAGGCGATGCAGAAATCCTTCGCGGACATCGAGCCCGACGCGTACTGCAGCATGAGGTGCTCGAGGAGTGATTGTCCAGCTTCCTCGCGCTTCAGAGCTTCTCCAGCGTCAGATGCAATATGGTCGATGTCCTCCCATGACCGCCTGACGACGGGTGACTGGGATCGATTGCGCTTCGTTGGCATGGAACGTGGAACAGGCAACGAACGTTGACAGAGTTTCTCGAGCCAACGCAGCTACGGAAACAAAAAAAGGAAGAGGAGGAGGGTAATAGGAGAGGGATCCTCGAGGGGCCAGTGTGGTGCCCAGGTGTCCCAGGGTTGCTTTGGAGGGCCATGCGGTTGTCTGGGGGCACTCTTGGAGTGTTTGGGCCGTCTCAGGGCGATCTTGGGCCGTCTCAGGGCCGCTTCGGGGCCGTCATAGAGGCCAGTTGGAAGCCATATTGGGGGCACATTAAGGGCACACTGGGACGTCTTGGGGTCTCTGGAGGGATCTTGATCAGCACGTGACCTCAGCTCCAAATGTGATACAGATGTTGTGCATGTCCCATATGACATGTTGCAGTAGTAGGGGCGTGCCCACAATGTTGCACATCATAGCATATTAACAGGAAGCTCAAACTCTGGATCCTCAGTATAAGGCATTACCAACATGCCATTCTCAAAAACTACATCAAACACATAAGTCCCCAGGATGAGGAGGATGAAGAGGAGTCTCCCCATTCGCAACTCCTCGCGCGGGCAAGCGCGCAGGGCCCAAGACGCGGGGGCGCCGACTCGCCTCGCCGCTGGGCGCGAACCCTCCCACCCCCATCGGGGGGGGGAGGAATGAGGAGAGGCGGAGGGGGGGGGTGCAACGTAAGCTCGCGGGCCGAGGTGCCCGGGTGCCGCGCTGTGTTTGTTTTGTTGTCGGTGTACGGTGTGTGAGTTGTGTGGTGGTGGTTGTGTGTGTTGCGTGGTATCTATTTCTGGTGTGTGCTGTGTGACGCGTCGGTGTTGGTGTGCGCTGCTTAACCGTTGTTGATGGTGTGTTATGCGTGATGTTTGTTGTTTGGTGGGTGTTGTAATGCTTGCTGCTGGTGTGAGCTGTGACTGTTGTTGATGGTGTGCGCTGTGTGATTTATGATGCTGGTGTGTGCTGCGTGGTTGTTGCTAGAGTGTGCTGTGTTAGTGTTGTTTCGCCTCCTCCCATTTCCAACCTGCTTCAAAATGGTAGGGGTCGAGCCTTATGGTATGCTCGTATGCTACATGCGTCTGGTCAAGGGTCCCAGTCCCACCACCTCATCCTTCTCCTGTCCCTCCCCCTCATGTTCCTGCTCCTCTTTCTCCTCCTCCCCTTCCTCCTCCGCATATTCCGCATACTCCGCATACTCCGCATCCTTCTCTGCTGGAGCGCTGAGCAAGCACGGTCGCGCCCCCTGGCACGGATAGGCCTGCGCAGTGAAGATGTCCCCGACGTATCGGGCGGGGGCGGGCAGCGGCGCGCGAGGCGGAGGGGGGGAGTAGGAGGGGGAGGGCGAGGGGGGTGGTGTAGGGGTGGGGTGGGGAGGAGTGGGGGAGAAAGAGGACTGGGATAGGATCGGAAGACCATTCTTCCCGAGGGGGCCCTTCCCCCCCGACCTGTCTAACAACGTTGATCCCCGAACCCTCTCTTAGATGATGATATCATTGGCCCGATGAAACATGCCCCTCCTGAGAGACGCCCACACCTCGCGATAGTTTTCACATCGGAAGTGTCTGCTTCCCATAACTCAAGTATTTCAAACAATAGCGTCGATGCACATTCGGCCAACTCACGAATTCAAAGTTAGGTGAAGCGAGGGACTGGAGTGGAGGGCGAGGTTGGAGGGAGCGTGGCGGTGTGAGGGCTGCGAAGCGTTGTGCGCGACGCAGGAGAAGACGCGCTCGCGCGGGCAAACTAGATTCCCCCGCCAGGAGCTCTGACCATTACAGTTGGAGGTGCGACCCCAGGGGAGGAGCGGAGAGAATGGAGGGTGTATAAAAGCACTGCGTAGGACAATTGAAACCACTACCTGGCGCTCCCAGCGCGAGCTCGAGAGTCGCAAAATCACAGAGCCGCCGAAGCGATTCGACATCCTCGGCCCCCCTTTGTCTGAACCCAACTCGGTTGAGGCCGGGGCATGCAATTTCAATTTCGGCGCAGCCTGCCTGGCTTGGAGCTGGAAATTCTGGTCTGGAGGGGTTCTCGGGCTCGTCCAGGGGGTCATCGGAAGGTCATCGGAAGGTTATCGGAAGGTAGTCGGAAGGTCATCGGTAGGTTATCGGGCGTTTGGCTGTCGTTTTTTTCATATATATATATATATATGGTTTGGTGGGGTGGGTTATCGGGGGGTTATCGGAAGGTTATCGGAAGGTTATCGGAAGGTTATCGGTAGGTTTTCGGGGGGGGGAGGCCGGGTCGCTTATGTTTTTTGGGGTTTTCAATTGCAAATCGTTGTTCGGTCAAACTATTTTGGCGATTTGGGCATCTTGACTTAGACTGACCCTCCTCGTCCCCCTCCTCGTCCCCCTCCTCCCCCGCTTCTGCCGTTCCTGCTCCCTCGGTCCTGAATATACTTCTCATCCTCCTTACTCTCATCCTCCTTACAGCGATCTCCTTATGGCTCAAGGCGGGCCGAAGTGGGCCGATGAGTTGGAGCAGGACCTGCTCGAGAATTACTCCCGCTCTGATCGACTGCCCCCCTCTTGCCCAGAACTCTTGAACGGGAAGCCTAGGCTGGCCTATGCTTCGCGCGGGCAGCCTTCTGCCCCGCCAAGCACTGCACGTCGGCAGCAACATCCTTCACGAGCGCATCGAGCAACGCAGGCACCTGGGAGAGGCCGACGTCGACGTCGCCGTCGTAGTGGTCCTTGACCTCCGAAACCTCCGCAGTGCTCAGGAAGACTTTGAGGAACGGGTTGGACTCCACGAGGGTCTCCAAAGCATGGATGCTCTGCTTCAGCAGGATGTGGTCCTCGTGGTTCTTGAAGGGCTTCCAGTTCGGGTCAGCCTCGATCAACTTCTCCAGCCGCGTCGCATGCAGGATACTCTTGGAGTGCTGGTTCTTGCTGGCGATGGCCGCGGCCTGCGCATCCTTCTTACGCTTGGCCTCCACTCTCTTGGCAACCTGATCAGGCGTCAGAACCTTCTTCTGCTTCTTGGCGGGAGGCTCATCACCAGTGCCAGGCTCCTCATCACCATCATCCCCCGTTGGCTCGATTCCATCACTCGGCCCGCCAACGCCAGGAGCCAGAGCCACGATGCATTTCTTTGGGCGCACGTTCTTGACCTTGTTGTCGAGATTCTCGTGCTCGCCCGTGGCCTCGGCCACGCCTGCACCTGCGCCATCAGTCGGCGGGGCGGGCGCCGCCGCCGCCGCTTGGCTCCCTGATGCCGCCGCTTGGCTCCCGGATGCCGCCATCTGCTCGGAGCCCTTGCTGTCGCCGCCGCCGCCCTGGCGACGATCGACGTTCATGCGGCCTTGCTTCAAGAAACATGCCTCCAGGGCCTGCTTGTCCAAGTGCCCATGGCAAAGTTTGCGCCTCTCGAGTTCACTAGTGTTCCCCTTCTTTGCCGACTCGATCGTTTTCAGCGTCCAGGCCTTCTTCATCTTGTCCTCGTAGCCGCGCTTCACGAACATGAACTCAATGCGACCAGTCATGGGGTTGCACTGAACCCACTCGGAGCCGAGCTCGATGCACGACCTGGCGTAGTTCCACGCGGCACGTACTGCATCGTGCGAATGCCTCCCTCCCTGAAGCTTGATGAGCATGTCGAAGGGCTCCCAGGTGCCCCACTCCTTCTGGGTCTGGCTGTACTCCTGCATGAAGGTGCGGGTTCTCACGTACTCGTCGTACTTCTTCCTCGCGAAGTCCGCCCTGAAGTTAGCCTGCCAGAGGCGAGGGGGTCTATCCTCCGCCTCCTCCTCATCATCATCCTCCTTCTCCCTGCCCTCCTCCTCACCCCCTCTTCCTCTTAATTATCATCCTGCTCATCGTTCCCCAATGTTTCCCCCTGCCTGGCCTTCTCATCGTTGAGTGACTTGGTATAGTCCTTCTTGTACTTGGCAGGCTGGTTCGCGAACCAGCGGGTGAAGCGCTGCCCCATGGTCGACTTGGTGGAAAACTTAAAGCCACTCGCCGCGGCTGCCTCGAGGATTGGGTCATCTGGAGGGGCTGCACTCTTGTCGGGAGTCTGCGCCGCAGGGTTAACGCCCTTCGACAATGGGGTTGTCTGCTCGCAGATGCCCTCAGCCGTCCAAGTATCTTTGGCACTGTTGAAGATCAGGCACAGGCTGCCCTCGAGGTCGCGGGACCCATCGGGAAACTCAAATTGACGCGTCGCATCCATGCCGAGACACTTGATGAACTTGGCGGCATCTGGTGGCATGTCCCCGAACTCCTTGCCGAAGTCAACGGCCACGGGCTGCTCGCAGTGGCCGACGTTGCTGGCAAGCTTGTTGGCTGGCGTTGCTGGCACGCTGCTGGCTGGCGTTGGTGGCACCGCCTCCGCTTGGGGTGGCGCCGCGCCCTCATGGCTTGCCGCCCCGTCCGCCGCCGCCCAGTCCGCGGCCTCGACCGATGCTGGGCTGCCACCGTGTGGCTCCTCGGGCTCACGTTTGGCAGCGGTGGCGGTGGCAAGCATCGAGGGCTCGTCATCGCTGCTGATCACCTCGACGTCATCCGATGCACTGGCCGCGGCCGCCGCGGTCGCCAGGTGGCATCCAGTAGTGCCCGCCATGCCGAACGGCTCAGCGGCCGAGTCGGGAAGCGTCAGGGTCGGCTTCTCGACGGCCCGAGTGCGGCCGTGCGCGGAGGCTGCACAGTTGCCATGACGAGGGTCGGAGTCTTCGATTCCCCCCGACTCGTCCCACCACGGCGGGTTGCTATCGGGTTGCCTGTCTGACGGCGGGCCTCCGCGAGGTGTGCCAGCCGCTGCGAACGCACCGTCAACGGTCCCCATGCGCGTGTCCCACGACATCGCGTGTTGATGGGTTGATTAAGCTGGATGCTCGGAATCCTCGTGATTGGACTTGCAGGACCAAAGCAGCTACGAGGTTAGGAGGGGGAGGGTGTGCCTCGCGGGGCCCGAACGGTGTTACTTCTTCCCTGCGCGCGCGTGGCTGGATAGAGGGCTCGGCTTCTGGGGGCAGTATTTGAGGGCAATTACTGGAGGCGGTGCAGGGGAACATACTTGAGGGCAATATTTGGGGGCAATGTTTGGGGCAATACATGGGGGCAGTACTGGGGGGCAACGCACGCATTCAGCACATGGGGGCAATACTTGGGGGCAGTAGAGGGAAACAGCGCATGGGGCCACTTCACCCACGCACGGGCTTCGTCCCCCGCCGCCGCCCCCTCACTCTTATCCGCAAGTGCGGGGTGCTGCGTATGCTTCATTTTGCGTCGTATGTTTCATGTTGGTCCGCCTCTAATGTTTGTTGCGCATTGTTTCTCCCTCCCGTGAAGCATCGAGTCATGTATCTTAATTCGCATGTTCATGCTGGATGTTTGACCTTATCCTCCTCTTGCTCTGTCCTTATTCTCCCCGCCCCATGTGCTACCCACCCTCCCTCCCATGTCCCTGCTACGCAGCGGTCCGAATTATATGGGGCACCCTCGCTCCCCGCTCCAGAGAGCCCCAGCGAAGCATTGGCCTGCGCGGTGAACGTCTTCCCCAAGTAAGCGCGAGAGAGCAAACGGGAGGCAGCAGCGAGGAGGAGGGGGAGAAGGAGCGTCGTCGTCGTCGTCGTCGTCGTCGTCGTCATTGCTATTGTCTATACCTCCTCCTCCACCCACCCCCCATTTAGCAATCAACATGCGGGCGTCTGCAACTGGCCCGCCTTTTCTGAGGGAGCTTGGTTGGCGAGGATCGGAGGGGAGGACGAGGAAGAGGTACTCAGATAATGGAGGATGGTTCATTAGGAGGGCGAGGAGGGTTGGAGCAGGATGAGGACGAGGATGACCCCTATTTTCATCTACTGCTGCCAGGCGCTCTTGAGCGACTGGTAAAATCAAACGCGTCCAAAAGATTCAAGAGAGACCTCCCTCCTCCTCCTCCTCCTCCTCCTCCTCCTCCTCCTCTTCTTCACCGTGCTCTTGATCCATGCGGGCTGGGCCAGCTCTGCGCGAAAAGCTGGCGCCGAGACAAGGTGAGGCCTCGCGCGGGTCTGCGCGACACTGCAGCTCACGCCCATTTATTGTCAAATCAGAGTCGGGCGAGCTGAGGGGCCTCTCCCACGCACTGCGTCGCAATGCAATCGATGCCTGAAAGATCACCTACTCCGTACCTGGCTCCATCAAAGACGCCCTCAAGTTATCGGCCAACCTAAAGCCGTGGGCTGCAGCGAACAGCGGCGTCGGGGGCTGCGGGAGCGGAGAAAAATCGCTCTCGTCGCTCTGCGCCCTTGGCGGCGGCGACCTGAGCGCACTTGAAGGCCAGCACGGCCTCTCCGCAGGCTCGGCCTCTGGCGAGGGCGACCCCGCCGCGACGGCGCCGGGTGCCTTAGCGGGCGATTTAGCCGCAGCAGGCCTGCGCAGCGGGCATGCAGCGGGCGATTCAGCGGGCGAGTCAGCCGCAGCAGGTTTGCGCATGGCGACGGGTGCTTCGGCCTCAGCATTGCCCGCAGGACGCTTCGCCACCCCCATTTTCGGCGCAGCGGCAGGCCGTTTGCGAGAGGCACTGGCACTCTTGTACTTCTGTTTCAGCTCCTCGAGCTGGTCCCTCTTCATGCCGCCGTCGTACTTCTTGCCTAAATCCGAAATGAATTCGATAGCTGCAGTCTCGGACGGGAACCAGGCGATGTTCACCTGCGTGATCTGCGGCGGGTTGTGATTCGGATCCTTCAGCTGAAGGAGCACGTCGTTGCGGTCCTTCGTTTTGTACACCTTTGCGGCGCTGGTCTCCGATGTCCACACTGGGCCCCCAGCTCCTGGCGCTCGGCCAGCCGCCGCTGCAGGGCCCGCGGCGGGGCTGGCCACGTCCTTGCACGTCATCTCCGTCAAGTCGCGGGTGTGGCCGTCGACCCATTTCACCCTAGCTGGGTCGGCATCATCTGCTCCTGGAGGTCTGAAGGGAGGGCCGCTGCACTCCCTGTAGCACTGCTTGGGGTTGGACGCCAACACGCGCCAGCACGCGTTCGCCTCCTCGTCCCAGCCGTGCAAGTAGGTGTTCTCCTATACGGGGATAACCAAAAAACGGAGGAGGAGGAGCAGGAGGAGGAGGAGGAGGATGAGGAGGAGGAGGGGGAGGAGGAGGAGGAGGAGGAGGAGGACGAGGACGAGGACGAGGACGAGGACGGAGGCGGAGGAGGAGGAGGAGGAGGAGGAGGAGGAGGAGGGGGTGGGGAATAGTAGGAGGAGGAGGATCGGTAGCAGGAGGATGGCGGGGCTGGGAGGGAGGCATATATATAATTAAATATATGGAGAATAGAACAAACCAAAAGAGATAGGGAAGCGAGGATGAACAGAAGGAGGAAGTGGAGGAGGATGGGGGAGATCAAAGACGAGGGGGAGGAGGATAACGAGGAGGAGGAGGAGGAGGAGGAGGAGGAGGAGGAGGAGGAGGATCCCCTCCTCGCCGTGGGGGGAGTCATACCACCACCCGCTGTTGGGGGCTGAAAGGCCGATATGGGGTGGTGGAAGGGTGCTTGGTCCGTGTAATCCTTCTCCTCATCCTCCCGTCCTCCTCCTCCTCCTTCTCCTTCTCCTCCTCCTCCTCATCCTCCTCTTCCTGCGACTCGCGGAACACGGACCAGACCGAATCGTCGGGGTGGATCGTGGCCGAGTAGGTCGAGCGTGCCGTCATCCGATGAATAACCCCAATCCTGCGATTTCGACCCTCTCCTCCCCCCTCCCTCCTGACCTCCTCCTTCCCTCTCACTCCCTCCTCCTCCTCCTCCTCCTCCTCCTCATCCTCCCCCTCCTCCTCCTCCTCCTCCTCCTCCTCCTCATCCTCCTCGTCCTCCAGTCTCCTCATCCGCCAGGGTCCCCGGATCCCGCTGGGAATTCCCCGAGGCTAATCGAAGTACGGGTGGAGAGAAGCGGGGAAGGGGGCAGGAGAACAGGGAGCGGGAGGGACGGGCGGCAGTTTGGTTAAGCCCAGTCCCCTACGCCAGCTCCAGCTGGCTTCTTCAGCATCTCGGTGCTGGCGGTGGGTTTCTTCGCGATCGTTTCCTCTGGGGTCGATGGTAATCGAATGGCAATCGAACGGTAATCGAACGGTAATCGAAAGGTAATCGAAAGGTAATCGAAAGGTAATCGAAAGGTAATCGAAAGGTAATCGAAGGGTAATCGAAGGGCAATCGAAAGGTAATCGGCAGGTCGACTGCCTCCCGGACCCCCCGCGGAATCCCCCCGATTGTCATCCAAGTCCTCGTCGTCGAAATCGTCCACCTCGTGGTCGACGACCTTCGGCACCTCCTCCTCGCCGCCCTCGCCCTCGTCCTCGGCGGCGTCGCCACCGTCGGCGTCCTGCACGTTGGGCTCGTCCTGGGATGCGGTGGGGGGGGCTCGCCCCTCGCCACCCCTCCTCCCCCCCTTGTTTTCCCAAGGGGAGGGCGGAAATTATCAGGAGAGGGGGGGGGAGGAGGAGGAGGAGGAGGAGGAGGAGGAGGAGGAGGAGGAGGAGAGGGAGGAGGAAGCAGTGGAGGTAAACGAGGAGCGAGCTCGTAGGCACGGGGAAGAGGAGGAGGAGGAGGAGGAGGAGGAGGAGGAGGAGGAGGAGGAGGAGGAGGGAGAGGAGGAGGAGGAGGAGGAGGAGGAATTCGAATACTCCCCCTGGGGTCCTCCAACATCTTGATGGCCCATGCGCGACCTTTCGCAAAGGCCTGGCTCGTGTGGCGGCACAGGTTTTTGAAACGGTTCGGCATCTCACGCTCGTAATCGTCCTTCTCTTTTTTTGCCAATGCCCATTCGGGATGCCAGTCCACGATCTGCCTGAATGCCTGCTTGAGGGTCGACTTCGGGAAGTTCAGGGTCGGGCTCAAAGTGTAGACATCCTTCAGCAACCTACTGTTTTTCAGCACCCGCCTCTTGTTCAGGGAGTCATCGCTTGAATAATCTATGAATGACGGTTTTGAGGCATATGGGGCGAAAACCAGGGCAAGGGCCCCCTGGTCCTTGAAACCCTCCTTCGGAGGCATCCCGATCGGGGAACTCAAACCTTTGAGCACAGTGCTGCGATGGTGACGGGCGGGGGGAGGAAGGCAAATCTCGAGGTCTTCCTGATCCTCCCAATCTCCTCGTCCTCGTCTTCCCTATCATATTCCCCCCCGCTAATTAAACCCCTGCCCCCCTGCTTTGGTTTCACATGGGGGTTGGGGCCCTTCGGGGGAATCGTACCGTGCGGGACCCCATGGGCGAGACCCCAGCCTGCATCAGATCCCGTTATGCAGCATACGGTCGAAGAACCCATGGTACATGCGCACACATATTTCCCTCCCCAGCTCCCACGGATAGTATACGATGTACTTGCGAACGCAGTGTACGTTACAAAGTCATGTATACTACATCTGTATCCGCATATATATATATATATATACATGTATGTGTGTATACGTACACATTCACAAACACGTATACACACCATGCATGTATGATATGGTATGGTATGATATGGTATGGTATGGTATGGTACGGTACGGTACGGTACAGTACGGTACGGTACGGTACGGTATGGTATTGTATGGTATGCATGCTTGTATGTATGTATGTATGTATGTATGCATGCATGTATTATGTAAGTATGTAGGCATGTATGTATGTATGTATGTGTGTATGTATGTATGTATGTGTGTGTATTTATTTATGTATGTATGTATGTATGTATGCATGTATGTATGTGTGTGTGTATGTATGTATGTATGTATGTAGGTAGGTAGGTAGGTAGGTAGGTATG